TTTTCCCCGCGATGTTTATTCATCGGACATTTCCCGGCTGTCATTCGCTAACCTTGTTGCATAAGCGGCTTGGCGGTAATTTAATCAGATTAGTTTGTTCCTGTAATCAATTCTCCCTCTAAGCTCGGGTGTCAGATATTTCACAGCCTTTTGTAGAAGTGCTAATTCCTTTTTTTTATTTTTTTTATTTTTTTTTTTATTTTTTCCCCCCCGAGATCTGTGATGTGTAAGAGAAGTCGGAATAATAATGTATCTTTATATTGTAATAAGAATAGAAAGAGAAGGAATCCAATCTACCTCACAGCAGTCCAGGTTCACACGTACGGTGGGGGTAAAACTAAGTGGTTACCACCTCCCCCAAGGCAGCCGTATGGGGGTATGCCAGGGGGCGTCCCTAGGGTGGTGTCACCCGGTGTGATAACACTCAGTGACACCCCCCTCCGACGATCCCCGAAGGATGGATCGGATCTGCAGACTGGGGAGGATAATGGATCAGACTCCGATCCATTATGCTCAATCCGCAGATCCCATCCATCCTGCGGGGATCGTTGGCATGCACCCTATACGGGGTGACACCGGACCCGCTCCACGAAAAGGTAAGTTGTAAAGCAAGCCGACGATCCCCGCAGGATGGATCAGATCTGCGGACTGGGGAGCATAATGGATCTCCTGCTCCCCAGTCCTGGGCTGTTGGACCCAGGTGAAGATACCTCCATTCACACATGACCAAAACAGGACCCACAGTGAGTGTCAGTTGCTGGGCAACCATCTGCTGAGATCACAGCATTTGGCAGAGGGAAGTCTTCCGACCAGGGGTGTATGTACCACAAGGCAAACAAGGCACTTGCCTAGGGCGGCATTTTTCAGGGGGGGCAGCACCTTCCCCCAGAAGAAGAGATGAAAGAAGGGACAAGTGCGCCATGGGAACCAGGTGGGATCCGAGAGAGGCTGTGGGCTGCTTGATGGTGTATGTAGAGCCTGACTCTTGTTCCCGGGGAGCTATGAAGATGAGCGGGTGAGGGGGGTAGTCAAAGGCTCTCCTGGGTGGGGGGTGGGGGTGTTATTGGTCAATATCAGGCTCTCTTCGCGGGAAGGGGAAAGAAGGGGTGGTGTTGGTCGGTGTCCGTGGGGGCAGACGATTTTTGTGTTGGTCAGTGTCCGTGTGGGCAGACGATTGTGGTGTTGGTCGGTGTCTGTGGGGGCAGACAATTTTTGTGTTGGTCGGTGTCCGTGAGGGCAGATGATTGTGGTGTTGGTCGGTGTCCGTGGGGGCAGACGATTTTTGTGTTGGTCGGTGTCCGTGGGGGCAGACGATTGTGGTGTTGGTCGGTGTCCGTGGGGGCAGACGATTTTTGTGTTGGTCGTGTCCGTGGGGGCAGACAATTTTTGTGTTGGTCGGTGTCCGTGGGGGCAGACGATTGTGGTGTTGGTCGGTGTCCGTGGGGGCAGACAATTGTGGTGTTGGTCGGTGTCCGTGAGGGCAGACGATTGTGGTGTTGGTCGGTGTCCGTGGGGGCAGACGATTTTTGTGTTGGTCGGTGTCCATGGGGGCAGACGATTGTGGTGTTGGTCGGTGTCCGTGGGGGCAGACGATTTTTGTGTTGGTCGGTGTCCGTGGGGGCAGACGATTGTGGTGTTGGTCGGTATCCGTGGGGGCAGACGATTGTGGTGTTGGTCGGTGTCCGTGGGGGCAGACGATTGTGGTGTTGGTTGGTGTCCATGGGGGCAGACGATTGTGGTGTTGGTCGGTGTCCGTGGGGGCAGACGATTTTTGTGTTGGTCGGTATCCATGGCGGCAGACGATTGTGGTGTTGGTCGGTGTCCGTGGGGGCAGATAATTTTTGTGTTGGTCGGTGTCTGTGGGGGCAGAAGATTGTGGTGTTGGTCAGTGTCCATGTGGGCAGATGATTTTTGTGTTGCTCGGTGTCCGTGGGGGCAGACGATTGTGGTGTTGGTCGGTGTCCGTGGGGGCAGACGATTGTGGTGTTGGTCGGTGTCCGTGGGGGCAGACGATTGTGGTGTTGGTCGGTGTCCGTGGGGGGCAGATGATTTTTGTGTTGGTCGGTGTACGTGGGGGCAGACGATTGTGGTATTGGTCGGTGTCCGTGGGGCAGACCAGGGGCAGACTGACAATTCATGGGGCCCCCGTGCAATAACGGATTATGGGGCCCGTATGTCCTCGCCCACACCCAAAAAAGCCTATGAAAAAAACTATGAAAGGTACCAGGGGCATCTCATGGGGCCCCCTACTGAAAGTGCCCAAGTGCTCGAATGGTCAGTCCGCCCCTGGTTCCCATCGCTCAAATGCTGGCCTCGGGCTTCCTCCCTACTCAAAGCAAGTAGATTGCGCATAATATCCGTCGTCGCTTATTGCGCGTTCATTCTGGGTCCGCTCCATGGAAGCCAGGCACAGACGGGCCAGTAGTAGGCCATCACAGCCCATCGCCCAATATTTATTTTAGAATGGTCTTCCTTCGACTGCCTACCAAGATCCTTTGTTCTCCTCCATTCATAAGTAGGCGTCTGCCGTGCCTCGGGCAGCCTGGAGAAAAGTAACTAAGCCTATTTGTGTCAACGGTGACTTTGCTCGTGCAGTCAGAGCCCGGGCCTAGTCGCTAATTACAGCAGCGGGTCGCAATGAAGTGCCAATTGTTAAATTACCCTCACGTCAAAATAGGTTAAAGCTTGGCCGAATTCCCAGACACAAAGAAGCTATAGAAAGTAATATTTCTGAGTAATTGCGGAAAATGGTGGAAAAAATATAATAGGGAGATGGTGACACAAAGGAATTAGACGTATGAGGGTCCTAGCTTTATCAGTCAGGTTGATTGCCACCATCTGACCTTCGTGAACACCTCAACTCCCTGGGCTCAGTATACATCCAATGATAAATAGTATTCATTTAATGAGGAACTCAAAGGCACTGTTTTTTCCCACAGCTTTTGGAACCTTTCTACTCCAAATGGCCATAGTTCAGCCCCCCAGAAGTCTGAAAGACAGTAAACTGGCCCTTTGAGTAGAAAGATTGGAGACCCCTGGTCTAGATGGATCTGTGGTCACTGATGTCCTTCTGACCTTCATGAACATTTCAACTCCCTGGGAACTCAAAGCCCTGCCTGCCGTCTAGATCAGTGGTCTCCAAACTGTGGTCCTTTGCTGCTTTTATTGGCCCTTGGGGCAACATTTCTTCCTCTGAGGCCAACAATGGGGCAAAACCACCCCTCCACGGACCCCAATGAAGAGGCAAAATTCCTCCTAATGACACCAATGACCAATAACACAATTTCTCCCACTGAATCATAAAATGAGGCACTGTTTTTTCCCACTGCTTTTGGGACCTTTCTACTCCAAATGGCCATAGTTCAGCCCCCCAGAAGTCTGAAAGACAGTAAACTGGCCCTTTGATTAGAAAGTTTGGAGAACCCTGGTCTAGATGGATCTGTGGTCACTGATGTCCTTCTGACCTTCATGAACACCTCAACTCCCTGGGCCCATTATATACCCAAAGACAAATAGTATTCATTTAAAGAGAAACTCAAAGCCCTGCCTGCCATCTAGATCAGTGGTCTCCAAACTGTGGTCCTTTGCTGCTTTTAAACGGCCCTTGGGGCAACATTTCTTCCTCTGAGGCCAACAATGGGGCAAAACCATCCCTCCACTGACCCCAATGAAGAGGCATAATTCCTCCTAATGACACCAATGACCAATAACACAATTTCTCCCACTGAAACATACGAGGCACTGTTTTTTCTCACAGCTTTTGGGACCTTTCTACTCCAAATGGCCATAGTTCAGCCCCCCAGAAGTCTGAAAGACAGTAAACTGGCCCAGTGATTAGATAGTTTGGAGACCCCTGGTCTAGATGGATCTGTGGTCACTGATGTCCTTCTGACCTTCATGAACACCTCAACTCCCTGGGCTCAGTATACACCCAAAGACAAATAGTATTCATTTAAAGAGGAACTCAAGGCCCTGCCTGCCATCTAGATTAGTGGTCTCCAAACTGAGGTCCTTTGCTGCTTTTATCCGGCCCTTGGGGCAACATTTCTTCCTCTGAGACCAACAATGGGGCAAAACTACCCCTCCACTGACCTCAATGAAGAGGCACAATTCCTCTTAATGACACCAACAAATGGGCCCAATGACACCAACGAGTGGGACCAATGACGCCAATGACCAATAACACAATTCCTCCCACTGAATTATCCATAAAATTGATTTTTTCCCTTTTTTCCCATTTTTTTTCCCACTGCTATTGGGACCTTTCTACTCCAAATGGCCATAGTTCAGCTCCCAAGAAGTCTGAAAGACAGTCAGTAAACTGGCCCATTGATTAGAAATTTTGGAGACCCCTGGTCTAGATGGATCTGTGGTCACTGATGTCCTTCTGACCTTCATGAACACCTCAACTCCCTGGGCTCAGTATACACCCAAAGACAAATAGTATTCATTTAAAGAGGAACTCAAAGCCATGCCTGCCGTCTAGATCAGTGGTCTCCAAACTTAGGTCCTTTGCTGCTTTTATCCGGCCCTCTGAGACCAACAATGGGGCAAATCCACCCCTCCATTGACCCCAATGAAGAGGCACAGTTCCTACTAATGACACCAACAAATGGGCCCAATGACACCAATGAACACAATTCCTCCCACTGAAACATACAATTTTTTCTCACAGCTTTTGGGACCTTTCTACTCCAAATGGCCATAGTTCAGCCCCCCAGAAGTCTGAAAGACAGTAAACTGGCCCTTTGATTAGAAAGTTTGGAGACCCCTGGTCTAGATGGATCTGTGGTCACTGCTGTCCTTCTTTGTCTCCCTGTGAAGGGCAGACCAACTGTTCCCTATTTTCAGCACCATCTCTTCTTCTAATTAAGTTCAACTGTTGCCCTAGGCAACACAAAAAATCAGCCACCCCAACCTTCCCCGTGGAGAGAGCCTGACACCAACCAACATGAACCCCCCCCACACACACACTGTGGAGAGAGAATAACACCGACCAACATCCCCCCAAAAGAGAGAGCCTGACACTGACCAACACCCCCTCCAACCGCGGAGGGAGCATAACACCAACCAGCAACCCACCCCCCAAAGGAGAGAGCCTGACACCAACACCCCCTCCAACCGCAGAGAGCATAACACCAACCAGCAACCCACCCCCCCAAAGGAGAGAGCCTGACACCAACACCCCCTCCAACCGCAGAGAGAGCATAACACCAACCAGCAACCCACCCCTCCCAAAGGAGAGAGCCTGACACCAACACCCCCCCTCAACCGCAGAGAAGGCATAACACTAACCAGCAACCCACCCCCCCAAAGGAGAGAGCCTGACACCAACACCCCCTCCAACCGCAGAGAGAGCATAACACCAACCAGCAACCCACCCCCAAAAGAGAGAGTCTGACACCAACACCCCCTCCAACCGCAGAGAGAGCATAACACCAACCAGCAACCCACCCCCCCAAAGGAGAGAGCCTGACACCAACACCCCCCTCCCAACCGCAGAGAAGGCATAACACCAATCAGCAACCCATCCCCCCAAAGGAGAGAGCCCGACACTGACCAACACCCCCCCCCAATTGTGGAGAGAGCATAGCACTAACCAGCAACCCACCCCAAAGGAGAGAGCCTGACACCAACCAACACCATCTCCCCCCCCCACCCCGGCCAAGAGAGCATTCCACTACTACTGCCTCCCCCATACACTAACCGCCACCCCCCCCCCATCCCTGGCAAGAGAGAGAGAAAGAAACTCATAGACACACACCTTCACAGCTCTGGACATCCCCGGGAACGAGAGTTTTGCTCTGCATACATCATCAAGCAGCCCACAGGCTCTCTTGGCTCCCACCTGGTCCCCATGCAGCGTGTATTCCTTGTTCCAGGGGGCAGCGCTGCCCCCCTGAAAAAATGCCGCCCTAGGCAAATGCCTTGTTTGCCTTGTGATAAATACACCCCTTTATGGGGGCGTGCTGAATTCATTCTACATGGAATCCCAACATGCACCTACAATGCAGCCAAATGCACCCATACTATAGAGCACCTTAAAGTGGAACTTCACCCTAAGAGATTGTTCTGCTGTATGTCCTCCTCTAACTCTTTTGACATTTTTTTTTGGGGGGGTACCTAGTTTTGGTGGGTAATCGCTCCCACTTCTGGTCGGATGTTCAGCTCCCTCCCTCCCTGCCCGCAACCTCTCGGGACCCCACATCACAGGTACCAGGAGGCCGCAGAAGCAGAACCGCTCAGTGGGAAGCTGGTGGTGAAGTCACAGCTGGCTCCCCACACTCAACATACCAGCACCACATGACCGCGCAATTGTCATTCAAAGTGTGATAGCGCTGAAAGCTGAAAATTGGCCTGGGCAGTAAGGGGGTGAAAGTGTCCGGACCAGGGGCGAACTGACCATTTGGAAACTCGAAGGCCCGGGGTCAGTAGGGGGCCCCATGAGATGCCCCTGGTACCTTTTTCATAGGGTTTTTTTGAGTTTGGGCAAGGACACAGGGGTCCCATCCCCCTATTGCCCGGAGGCCCCATGAGTTGTCAGTCCAGCCCTGGTCCCATCATGCCTCTGCCTTTGGGAGCCATGCTTGTAACTGTCAGTTTTGCAATGCCTCATGGGACTTGTAGTTCTACAACAGCTGGAGGGGCACAGTTGCCCATCCCTGTCCTAGAGGTTGCTCATCATCAACGAAGAGGTCATTTTTGAAATGACCGGGGGCCCCATGAGTTGTCAGTTCGCCCCTGGTCCGGACTTGACAAGCGGACAAATGACAGAACGGCTCGTGTAGCGATGATATATACATTGTATCTTTTTTTTTGTGACACTGAAGTCTTTTTTTTTTTCCTTTAAAGAAGACAAACAAGGATTACAGTCCAAAACGCAGCGCTCGCGGGACTGCGGCCAGAGGTTTTATTTTATTTGTCAGCCTTCAACTCACTGTACAACCTCCTCGGTTTATGAAAACCTTTTTTCTTCTCGTTTTATTTTTTGAGGTTTATTATCTGCAGTTTGAAAACCACCTAAAAAGGATATCGCCGACAAGGTTCCTTCCCAGACGAGCTCAGCATGGCGGCTCCCCATTAGGAAGGACGTTGGCGCTGATAATTCGTATTCCCTGAGAGCTCGGATCCGTCTGAGCCGCCAACGTTTGACTTTGGTGTCCTCCTGCAAACATCTGATACGAGGCTCAGCGACACCAAAGGCGCAACTTCTATAGAGGCTTTCAAGAAATACTTCTCCAAAAGCTTCATTTGGGATGGAGGCAGGATCCAGGGAAGCTACCAACACAAGGACAATGCAGCTATGTACACTTTAGTTCATAATTGGTCCAATAGGATACTCCGTAGCAGATCTGTCTAGGTAACACTAGGAGATTGCTGATAAAGGCGGAGCCCCCCACATGGAAGAAAAATATATTTTAAATATATTTTAAAAATACATTCTTAATATATTCTTCCCAAGCAGGGGCGGACTGACAACTTATGGGGCCCCCAGGCAATAGGGGATCATGGGGCCCCTGTGTCCTTGTCCAAACTCAAAAAAGCCTATGAAAAAGGTACCAGGGGCATCTCATGGGGCCCCCTACTGACCCCAGGCCCTCGGGCAGTGCCCGAGTTTCCAAATGGTCAGTCCGCCCCTGTTCCCAAGTATATTAACATATATTTCAAATACTACAATTTTGGCCATAATCAATATACTTCAAAAATGTATTTCAATATATTTGTATATATAGGGCGGCACAGTGGCTTAGTGGTTAGCACGTCAGCCTTGCAGTAAATGGGTCATGGGTTTGATTCCCAACCATGGCGTCTCCTGCATGGAGTTTGCATGTTCTCCCTGTGCTTGCATGGTTTCCTCCGGGTGCTCCGGTTTCCTCCCAAAGACATGCTGGTAGGTGAATTGGCTCTGTCTACATTGTCCCTAGTATGTGTATGTATGAATGTGAGTTAGGGACCTTAGATTGTACGCCACTTGAGGGTTAGGGACCTTAGATTGTACACCCCTTGAGGGTCAGGGACCTTAGATTGTATGCCCCTTGAGGGTTAGGGACCTTAGATTGTACATCCCTTGAGGGTCAGGGACCTTAGATTGTATGCCCCTTGAGGGTTAGGGACCTTAGATTGTACGCCCCTTGAGGGTTAGGGACCTTAGATTGTACATGCCCCCCCTGAGGGTTAGGGACCTTAGATTGTACATCCCTTGAGGGTTAGGGACCTTAGATTGTATGCCCCTTGAGGGTTAGGGACCTTAGATTGTATGCCCCTTGAGGGTTAGGGACCTTAGATTGTATGCCACTTGAGGGTTAGGGACCTTAGATTGTACGCCCCTTGAGGGTTAGGGACCTTAGATTGTACGCCCCTTGAGGGTTAGGGACCTTAGATTGTATGCCCCTTGAGGGTTAGGGACCTTAGATTGTATGCCCCTTGAGGGTTAGGGACCTTAGATTGTACGCCCCTTGAGGGTTAGGGACCTTAGATTGTACGCCCCTTGAGGGTTAGGGACCTTAGATTGTATGCCCCTTGAGGGTTAGGGACCTTAGATTGTACATCCCTTGAGGGTTAGGGACCTTAGATTGTATGCCCCTTGAGGTTAGGGACCTTAGATTGTACGCCCCTTGAGGGTTAGGGACCTTAGATTGTACCTTAGGGACCTTAGATTGTACGCCCCTTGAGGGTTAGGGACTGATGTGAATGTACAATATATATGTAAAGCGCGGCGTAAATTGACTGCGATATATAAGTACCTGAAATAAATAAATACATTTGTGAATATATGATTAAAAATATATTCAGAAACAGGGGCGGACTGACAACTCATGGGGCCCCTGGGCAATAGGGGATCATGGGGCCCCTGTGTCCTTGCCCAAACTCAAAAAAAGCCAATGAAAAAGGTACCAGGGGCATCTCATGGGGCCCCCTACTGACCCCGGGCCCTCAGGCAATGCCCGAGTTTCCAAATGGTCAGTCCGCCCCTGTTCAGAAAGCATGCTGAAATATATTTCAAAGTGTCATTTGGAATGCATTTACAAGTATATTTAAAAATCTACGTTTAAGTGCATTTTTTTTAGATGTTCAAAAATATCTGGAAAATATATTTAAAAAAATATATTTTTAAATATATGCCTTTGGAAAATATATGTTTCATTTACATTTTTGGAATACATGTTAAAATATCTTCATGTAGGCCAAGGTCACAGCTTTATATTTCTTGCATGATTCTCCCATCATTGATTCAAAGTTCGTTCGTTTTTCAAAACATTTCCAACAAACAAGCCTAATCACTCAAATTCGATGGTCACACGAAAATGAGCTTTTTCTTTGACCCACTAATGGTGAGAAATTCGAACAAAAATTCCTAGAAAAGATTTTCGAAAGAAAATTCTTTCGGGATTCGGCCCGTGTGTGGCCGGCTTTACTCTCCAACCAAAGCTGTTTTTTGGTAGAGAGGCCCGCAGAAATGATAAACTCTACCTGAAGCTAACAAATCATTTTGGCCGGACTAGTCGAGTGTTTCTCAATCTTTCTAATGTGGAGGAACCCTTGAAACAGCTTTCCAGTCTTGGTGAACCCCTATTGATAATTGTACAGTATCTGCAGTTCTCGGGACAGTAGGCAGGGGCGGACTGACCATTGGGGAACTCGGGCACTGCCCGAGGGCCCGGGGTCAGTAGGGGGCCCCATGAGATGTCCCTGGTACCTTTCATAGGCTTTTTTGGGTGTGATTTGAGTGTGGGCGAGGACACAGGGGCCCCATGATCCCATATTGCCCAGGGGCCCCATTAGTTGTCAGTCCGCCCCTGACAGTAGGTGATGGTCAATGGGAAGCAAGGCATTTCATCCCGAAGAATAGGTGCAGGTACCCCCCCCCCTCCCCCACCATCATCCCTTGTCTCTGCCCCTACCCACCTCCAAGGACTGTCCTTTGGTTCCACCCCCTACCAGCAATAACAGATCCACCAGGATCAACAGATACACCCCCCCCTCCAGCGTTCAGAACAATAGACCCCAACCAGCAATAACAGATCCACCAGGATCAACAGATCCCCCGCAGTCAGAACAATAGATCCCTCCTTCAACAGTAGATCCCCCTCAGCAACATAAGACATCCCCTCTCCCTGGCACCAATAGATTCCTCACCAGCAACAATAAACCTCCACAGCATCAATACACCCTTCAGCAATAATAGATTCCCCAGCAACAATAGATCCCCAAACAACCAGGATCAATGGACACCCCCCAGGCCCCCCCCCCCCCCCACAGTATCTGCAGTTCATGGTACATTAGGTGATGGTCAATGAAAAGCAAGGCTTTTCATCACGGAGAATAGGTGCAGGTACTCCCCCCCCCCCCCACCGTCATCCCTTGTCTCTGCCCCTGCCCACCTCCAAGAACTGTCCTTTGGTTCCACCCCCTACCCTCCCCCCCCCCCCCCCGTCGTACCCCTTTAGAGAATGCAGAACCAAGTGTCAGTCTGTGGCTAAGAAATTTGTAAAGAAAAGCAGTAAATACATTCCTTTTAGTAACAATACACCCCCCAGCAACAATAGATCACCACAAGAACAAGAGAACCCTTCCAGCAACAGTAGATGCC